ACCCAACCCCTCAAAACAGATCACATGTGTTATCCAGTGTAGCAAGTCTTAAAATAATTTTAGCTATAATAATTTTTAAAATACTGGGTTCCCATATTACACAATATGAATAATAAAGAGCTAAGTTTAAAAATACAGTGTGTGTGTGTGTGTGTGTGTGTGTGTGCTTATAAATAACATAATGTGTATATGTTATATATTTCATGGAAATATTTTATGGAAATAATGTAAAACCTCTGAGTTCAGAGACTATTATCTATTTCTGAGATCCTGATATTAAAAAAAACTGAGATATTAACATGGAATAATAAAAATTCTCATATAGAAAAATATAACTAAAATCAGAAGCTCTGTGGAACATCAACACTTCCTCTTGTGGATTAACAAAGGGTTATTAACAAAATATACTTGGAGCTCTTAGGAACTGTTGACAGAAAGAAAAGCAAATGGTTTAAGTAACAACGAACATAGTGAAAATATAAATATTCAGAGATGGAACCCAAATGATCAAACTGGAAAGCTATTCAAATTCGCCATCCGGAAGGAAACCCTGTTTGCAGGAACAGTGTTCTACTGATAAACACCCAGCACATTGCTGGTAACCAAAGCTTTCTACACCACCTTTCCAGGCAAAGCTAATAAGAGCGCTCTTAGGCTGGAGGAAGTGGCAGGTGAACAGTGGAGCGCTGGCCTAGGTTGCACAAGGTCCTAGGTTTGATCATCCACGTTCTCAGTGCTTCCTTATATGAAAATGACTACTAGCATAAAACACACACCAAAAAGGAGAGTTCTGAGGGGCAGGTAGGAAGCCAGGGGAAAGTAATTCCATACAAGCAAGCACAATAGAAAGTGTGAAGATTCTGAAAGGTTATTTGGAAAGAGGCTTTAGAATAGGCCTTGGATTAGGAAATTAAAACGAAAATGATGACCTTAATGTCAAAAGCATAGCTGAGAGAGATAGGTCTGAGAAAAGCACAGTATGTGGAATTAAGTACAGATCACTTTAGATACATTTAAGTTTTCATAAGCACCAAGTAAGCAAAGCAGAGCAGCAATTGGAAATAGGATTAGGAAATTGGGATTGCTTTGTGGTGCAGTTTAAGAGCTATTAAAGTGAGAAAAAACAACAGCATAATGAATGCAACAGGTTTCCAGAAGTTTTAGGAGCACAAAAAAACCAAACAGAGAGTTTCTTCCCTTTGCTCTCCAGAAAAGGGGGTATCTGTTCCACTGAGAATCCTCTCATACCCTCTTTCCCTGATGGAAGACGTGCTGAGAAGGAGAACAACACTTAATCCTCTAATCCGACACATGTAGCAGCACTAAAGGGATCAGGCTGAGATGTAGAGCTAACAAGAATTTCCAAACAAAATATGATGGGAAGAAACAGGAAGAAGACAACCATATACAAACCCAGAGGAGAGACCTGGAACAGATCCCTTCCTCACAGCCTCCCCTAGGAACCAGCCCATCTGACTCTTTAAAAGGAACTTCCACCCTCCGGAACTGTGAGACAGTGCATTTGTGTTGGTTAACCACCCAGTCTGCGCAGAATCAAGGCTAGATGCTCCTAGACCTAAGGGAGGAGATGAATATATCAGAATGTCTCCCCACGAAGCAGTTGTCTTTCTCAACCTGCAGAAGCACAGCCAAAGACACATCCCTAGGAGTGCATCCTCGGGTACATGCAGGTCGTGAACTGCTTGCACTTGAAAAAGAAAATTTTTCTCACTCATGGTGAGAAAGACACATTTTTTATATGGCTTTGGATAAAGAATAAGTGAACAGCAGAATAACCCTTTGGCTAATCTTTGTTTCTTGATGTCTTGAGAAATTGATTTTTATAGAGAGTTTTTCAGAGACTTTGCCCAGGGTATTCAGTTATCCTTGACTGTGACAAGCCCCTAAAGCAGCTGATTTCATTTTTTTGTTGCAAGACAGATAACAGAAATTTAAGGGAAAGCTGGGAGGCTTGAGTTTCACAATACATCACAGCTTTCTGAGCAAGTATAATGCAGGCAATAGACATAAGACCAGTGTTAACAGCCAAATAATTCAAAATGCCTTGTAAGATCATGAGAATCACACACATATTGGAAGCGCCTGCTGTGTAGTATATAAAATGCATTCTCTTAACTCTTTTTGGTATTTATTTTTTTATATATCCATATAAATATGGAGGATCACAAAACTGTCATAAAATGAGCATCAAAATATAACATAAGCTGGGGGCTGCACACTTTTATAACTATGATCAGCTTTAAGCTCAAAGCCAAACATGCAAATTCTAACATTTTCCCTAAATCTGATACATAACCAGAAGTCTTTTGGAGAGACTAAAAATAAGCAAAATACGAAAAAAAAAAAGAACTCTAAATTCCATGTATGATAGCCAGTTTCAGAAGAACCTTGAGAAATTCCTATTTAACTAATAGGTTTAAGTTAGGCAATCCAAGGAATTAAAGATCCCTAGGCTTCATCTGAAGCCCCTCTTCCCACTCAAAACAGTGTCCTGGTGCCTGGTTAAGGTTTTGCATTTTTAAAAGGCTATAGCAGGTGCTTGCAATATGCACACTGACGTTTAATTTCCATCTGGATGAACAAGAAGTCAGCTGCCTAGAGCTGAGGGCTATTTGCTGTAGAAAAGGTAAATTTGCTCAAAATACTCTAAGAGTAAAGAGAATAAAGGCTTACTTGAGTAAAGAGGGAACACAAAATAAAAACTCACTTGGATTAGAAATGATGGGTTAGGCAAATATTTTTATGGCATTTGATATTTGCAATATGGAAATGAATGCAGATCAGAGGAAGTGTTCATGCACTCCTTAAATCGCAGTGTCTCCTAAACTTCCTTTAAACTGAAACATCTAAGTTACATTTCTCTGTAGTTTACGTGCACTAAGTTCAATATAACTATGAGATACTGTTAAAATTCTATACATGGGGTTTTCTTGAAAACCAATACTTCTTTTAAGAGAATTATTAAATAGTAAATGTCACTTCCGTTAAAAAAACTTTTTGAAAAAAGTATTAATGTTGAAATTGTTTTGTGAACAAACTTGCTTTGCACAAGTAGTTACCAAACTTCTGAATGTCTAACTGTGGTTTCAGGACTTCAAAATTGCCCTGAGGCAGGGGAGTTGGGAAGGCAGATTTGGGAGGCGCTGTAGAGTTCCATCAGATCCTAAGGGGAAAATAGTACCATTCCTTCTCCAGAAATACACACACATTTACTTAATAGGCAGTTATGGTTATAGCATGACAGATTCTTAAAACTGAAATATGAAATCTTGGGGGAAAAACTATTTTAACTACGTTAACTATTTTTTTCCAAATTACTCATTCCACTGTAAGGAGAAGTAGTGGAAAAGTCACATTTTCCCCTAAAAGAGGCCAAGAGCAGAATTCCTTAAACTACTTGTGTCTCGAAGAAGCTGTAGTGTTTAATAATTACAGTAAAGTTATTTCACCTATTGAGACATGGTATTCTTTATTTGTGCAAGTCTTAAAGAGGCTTAGAAAAGACTTTAAACCTGACTTCTAGGTGAGGACCTTCTCTGAGTTGGAGATGTGTTTGTTGAAATCTTTACAAATTTTAAGACCCAGCTCAAAATCCAGTTTTGTGTACTATAATTTCAGATAATTTTAGAGAAAAGTGCCACTTCTCTAAAAAGAAAACGGGACATTAGTTGGCTCTTGAATATACAATAATTTCACTGGAATTTGTAGTTTCTCTGTTTTATCTTATCTCTCTTCCTTATTAGACTAAGTTGCTTTACGATTCGTTCTTGTTTGTGCCCAAACTATTCATAAGGCTTTGTGAATTGTAGATGCACACACAAAAGAAGCGACATTATTCACTGATTTACCAAAGTGATTCAACTATACTTCATAACTTTATTTTGAATCTCCAGAAATTATTAGCTATCACATACACTGTGTGCAATTCCAGGCATTAAGGACTCTATGATAAACAAAACAAAAATATCTATTGTTTCTCAACAACTTACATTTTAATGACATGAGATATCGCAGTATGTCAGAAAAATAAATTTAATCTCTTTTTCTTCCTATGGGATTTCCATAGTCTGCTGATTGACAGTGTATACTTTGAAATTGTGCTTTTGCTTTGGCACGTGTTTGATTGCAACCAACGAATCATAAATGGAAGATTGTCTCATGGCTTAGTTCATCTACTTATCAATGATGCATGATCCATATTTTCAATTTTAGAAAAAAACAAACCACCATAGGTGGACAACAAAAAGGCAATAATAATCAGAACTTGGAAGGCATTCAGATTTAGTTATCTGCCTCTTACGCTCATGCTGCGGAGATACCACATCCATCCATCCATCCATCATGTGGGCCAGAAAAGAGCTGTAAAAGGGGAGATCTGAAAAAAGCAGTGTCAGTTTTGCATCTAGGAGTGAAGGTCGAATGGAGAAGAAAAGGCATATTCATTCTGTGGGGAAGACAGACGCAGGGGCATGGACGGGACACATACGAAGTCAGTGTAACAGGAATAGCTGTTAACAGAGTAAGGCTGCAGCCCTGGCTCTTCACATTCTACATGAAGACCTAAGATGAGATGAGCGGCAATAAGCAACCATCACTATTTACTGAGTTATCACAAGAGGCTGGGCAGTGGCAGGTGGGTTTGATTATGGAGAAAGGTAGGAGTGATAGAGTCCAGAGGGAGGTGGATGATCTTACTAGTTAGAAAACATGGCGTCTTCACGGAAGGCAACGAGATGTATTTAGCAAAGGCAAATTTAAAACTAGCTTGTCAGAATTGTAATCCAGTGTTCACTTCCCTGTGCGATACAGAGTGTCTGATTTCTATTTTTAAATGTAAGACTCCTTTGGGTAGTCAGGATTGCTAGTACAGAATCTGTATTACAAAAGCTTAGGGGAAATGTTTTAGAAAGTTACTGAGGTATGTTTTATAACTCAAGATACGAACCTGGCCCTCAGGCTGTTTTGGAACCAGACATTTAAATGCTATTTCTGTTACTTATCTTTACATCTACCAAACTAGGTTTGGGGCTCATAGTCATGATCCCGGCAGGCAACATTTTTACTTTTGAATCTCACAGCTCCACTAACAGAGAAGAATTTTTGTCTTCTTCAGTCTGAAAAGATAAAAGTAAAAATCCTGTTGTAGTGTTTTGATTGGCTTCGCTTTGGTCAGTGGCTTATATTATATCTAAAACAATCCATTTTGGACAGAGTTCAACTATGATGATTAGAAGACCTCTCACTAGAGTCATTTGGTTGGTTTTTTACTCAAAAGAAAAGAGTGTTATTCACAATATCAGGCAAGAATTCTGCCTGAAAAGAATTCTTGTATAATTTTTGCAGTAATTTATGCTTACTATAGAATGTTAATTAGGTATAAATGTAGTATGCTACACTCATAAATAAGAGCAGAAAAAATAAATTCTTCCACAGGTTCTAAGTTAATCAGAGTAAATATCATCTCATAATTATTTTAGTATTAAAGTCAATTGGTTTAGTATATTATGTATTTGACATTTTTGCAAAACTAACAAATATGTGACCATTTGTGATGAACAGATATATGACATTTAAATATTATGTGAGTAAAGCCTACCTTATTTTGTTTTAAAAATTATCAGAGGTCTTCCTTTTGTTTCATTTATTCTTTGTCTTGGTGAAATATCTCAAGGATGGGGAAACAGTGTACCCCGTACTAATGTGTCATCATCTCTGTGAACTTTCTATGATTCCTTCATTTGTTCAAATCTGATCAGAATCCTTTCCACTTGTAGATATCATGCTTTGTGTTTTCTCTGCTGAATTCAGTAACAGCACTTTGGCCTAGATTGGTTGATTTGGTAGAAGGTGTGATTAGTTATGGAAGAATCAGTTATAGAAAGGAGAAGTTATAGGAATTAGTTATAGAAAAAATCAGAGGTGAAGATCACAAACTTCTACGATCTTCCACATCATGGACATTCAAATGGATAGTGCCTGAAAGGAACTGAATTGATATTATAAGAATTATTAAGGGGCCAGAGATTTAGCTCAGTGGTTCTGCCGCCTGCCTTGCAAGGACAAGGACCAGAGTTCAATCCCCAGTACCATAAAAAAAAAAAAAAGAATTATTAAAGCATCATTTTTTTCTGAATTTCATGGCTAGTTTAAGGAGTTTCCTTATTGCTTAAAAATCGGTTTATATTCAGAAGAACAAGAAGTTATAGTTAAAGTTTATAATCTTTGATCCTTAGCACTAAAAAAACATTGATCATCTACCCAAATTTCTAGAAGGCTCATGCGAATGATAAAGACCTCAAGTAGTGAGGATTTTCCATCATCTTACACTATGGAAAAGAATCACTTCACATTGGAATCTGAGAATACGTTTACTTGAATTCTTTGTATCAACACTTAAATCAATGACATATTCACTAAATCATTTGTGGTTATAACTTTAAAGAAATATGTATTATTAATGACTCCAAAAGAAAGCTTGAACCAGGTCCTAGAGAATAGAAAGTGACTGCCCAAAGCCGTGGAAGATTTATATACCTATTGCATTTAGATATCCTTTTAAAGGAAAGTAAAATATAAACCAAGTACATGTACTTGGTTTTAAGAAATAAAGAAAACATCATTCTATTAAAAACAATGTATTCTTTTTATGAAGTATCCTACCTTGTTTTTTATGTTCATATTTCAGTTCTCTTTTTTTCCTTTGGCAACAATACTCAGGTGGGTCTTCCACGCCCAGACCAGGCTGATTGAGTTCGGCTGGGCAGGCCAAGCTGACCATAAGTTAGGTCATCACAACTGTTTTTCCCTTTTCCTCTCTCAGTCTGAAGTTAAGACCTACTGACATGGCTTCCTCTCCTCCCACTGCGTGCCCTGACCTCTACATGCATTGTTAGTCTAGTGAGATCCAGTTCTCTACAATTTCCCAAATACTTCAGATTCCAACTTATACAGTTTGTTCATCTGATTCCCAGCAAAAACAGTCCCTGGTTTCTTTTCTTTCCAGTAGTCTTTGCTTTTTTGAAATCCCAACAGTAACCCACACTATGTGCTCCCCAATATTCTGATTCTGTCCTTAAGTGATCGCTTTCGGGGGGGATTTATGTTTATGCTTTCGTGGCCTTACGAGTTCCTTCAGAACATCCACTGTTTCTGATTCCTTTTTCGTTTAAACCTCAGAACTTTCATTATCAAAGGTGCCATTTTTGTTTCTCTGATGAAAAGACTGAGATGAAATTCACAGAATGTCAGGCTCGTTTTCCCTAAAGGAAAAGTGAATCAAGTGACAATATTTGAATGCAGGCCAGCTCATTGGCGAATGATTTCAATGTATAATAGTTATTTGAAGTTATGGTTACTTATGCATTCCAAGCCAGAATTAGAAAACTAAAATTTAAACACATAATTACAATTTAGGAGGAAGACTATGCTGAAGTTCTATGTAGTGACTTTGGTATGAATATATAGTTACTTGTGTGCTTAGCTCTATGTGTGTTTGATATTATCTTTTCCAACATAATGTATATTGCTTCAGTCATAGTTTGTTAATTCCATGTCTAATGCAGTGCCTGGCATATAGTAGGCACTTCATAAATATTTTCCAGTAAATAATGAATTATGATGTATCCCATAGTAGAGTGAGCTCATTTGTACAAGGAATATTTTGAGTCTAAGTTATCAGACAGGACACTCTGGTATACCCTAATAATTAGGAAGCTGATTATATTTCCTGGAAGGTATTCTAGGACTGCTTGTACAAGTAATTCAACACAAGTCTCATGATTGGGCAACAGAGGTAGAAAATTTATATCTGGGAAATCAATTCTAGTTTCAGTTTCTGCATTCTGATATTCCTCTTCCCCACTTTCTTCAACTGAAAACAAGACTCTTCACTGATAATGATACGATGACAATAACTATGAATGGATTTCTTGTTTAATAAGCTGTTATATGCATGCTATTGAACATTTGGAGTGGAACAGAATGGACTTGGCATTGATCTCATTGTGAGGAAAAATAAGTATTATGTGAGTATAATTTAAAAACCTAACTAGAAGGTGGTGGTTTGCAGTAAGGAGCATATTCAACATGAAGCCAAGTTAGGACATCAAAAATAAAAGATGCCCTGCTAAACCAAGCATGGTGGCACATGCCTGTAATCCCAGCACTCAGAAGGCTGAGGCAGGAGGAGCTCCACGAGTTCAAGGACACCCTGGAAGACCCTGTCTCAAAATAAATGAAAGAAGCCCCGGTGTGGACATGTTACAAAGTAACTTATATGTGGACTTTCTGGAGTTATTTGAAATCAGATTAGTGAGGAGGGAATTTTGTCTTCCTGGTAAACCTGAATTAACTGTCTTTGTTTCTCTAATTCTTTGGCTACTGCCAATATAAAAATACATCCCCAGTCAATCAGCAACCTTTCTGAACCCATGACACTGAAACTCTGAAACATAAAACTGCAGGGCATTGTATCCAGGTAGGTGAGTAGTGCAGGGGTGATGTAATGCTGCTTATGTATGGGTGACTAGTTACTCTCTGTGGCTTAAGACTGAAACCCAACAGACCCCACCCTCCAGTATATACGCACACACATTCTGAAACCCCAGACAGGCTTGGACTTCTCTGAAAGGGGCAAATAGAAACATCCAGGTAGACAGATGCTTGGCAGCCTCAAGACCATTCCTGGGAACTTTCAGGGTGCAAGCAGGTTTCACTCTGTGAGGTTCTTACCCAAGTGATCCTCTCTGCTAGAGAAGACATGTTGCCCTTTCTAGGACAGGTCTGATCGTGCACGTTATACAACTGAACTTGTTCTGTCATAGAACAGATACATGCATGTGTGTGTGCCTCTGTGACATCATCCACTCAATATGGAGGTCCCTAGATAGCCATACCTTAAATCTCTCAGTATTTTGACTCTGTAATAATTGGTAGCATTTAATTATAAAATGTTTAAAGGCAGCGAAGCAGTTGCCTCTGTCATCAGGTTGGGATTAAAGGCAGCACAATTATGGCATTGTGTTCCTGCTACTTAGGGTTCTTGACCTGAAGCTTCCTTGGTACTTCGCTGAGCAACGTTACAGAGACACTTCCAGGAAAATAAAGCCAGTATAAACCGAGGCAAGTTCTTCTACGCATGGCCTCTGTCCAACAGAAAGCCACATAATTTGGAAAATACAATATTAAAACTACATTTAATAGAACAATTGGTATTAACATGTTATAGTTATAACATCTCAAAAAGTGCTTGCAGATACTTTTCCTATTAATGAATTTTGTGTATTTATAAATGTGTGCTTATTTTTTAGCTTAGAAAAGCTTCCTTGGCACTACTGTGCCAATAAAGTCTATCATTAATCACCTGGAACTTGTTCTTCTGATTACCTCACTCATGAATTGCCACATAATCATACTGAGAATAGAAAGACTAAGCGGTTGCTTTCTTCTCAAACACGTAACTACAAAGGCTTTTTGCTTTTCTCAGGGTTTGGTATCAAACTCAGGGGTAAACTGCCACTGCTATACATCCCCAGCCCTTTTTATTTTTTTATTTTAAAACAGTGCTTCAGTACATGGCCCAGGCTGGCCTTGAACTTGTGATCCTGTTGCCTCAGACTCACAAATAGCTGTTACTCTGGGCATGTGCCACAGCCTTTGGCAACTTCAGAGCCTTTGAAATCAAAGGTAAAGCAGTGAGATTCTATCTTCTACATCAGTCAAAGGTGAAACTTTCAGTTGGTTTCATATGCTGTTAGTTAAAAAAAAAAAAATGTACTGTAATTCCAACTACTCAGAAGGTTAGGCAGAACCTAACTCAGAAGCCGGAATGTAATGGTACAGCACTTGTTAAATACATATGAGACCCTGGGTTCCAAGTGCAGTATTGTGAGATGGTGAGAAGGAAAAAAAAACTCTGCTTCACAAATATTTATTCCATCCTCACCACCTCACAACTGGGAAAGCTGATACAATCATTACACATGTTTCAAAACTGAAGTCCAGTGAGTTGAAATTAGCTAAAATTAAGAATTAGTACTTATGGGAGTTGAGACTTGAATACAGTTTTTTCCTTTGACTGCGGAGCTCTCTACGTTATTAGTTCACAGTGACAATTTGTTTAGTTATTTGAAGTTATCTAAAGTTTTACCTAGAAAATAAATTTATAAGCTGACAATAAAACCAAATAGTGAAGCTTTTGTGACAAAGAGCCTATATATAGCTACTTTTTAATTCAGTATAGTAGCCTGGTGAACTCCTACACCTACAGTTCCATTGCCATGGGAGATAAAACCACAGATATCCACTTTGACCTCCTCTCTAGGTGGGTGTGAGAACTTCAGAAATATACTTTTCCTTCTTACTTTATCATTACTCAATGTCCTGTATATTTCCTGATAAACCAGCTATTCTGGAATTAACACTCATCCTCCGTTCATGCTTTTGAAAAGTTTCTTTCGTTCTGAAATCTTTTGTTCCTGGTAGTTTTTCATACCTGGCAGTTGAAACAAAGCTAGCTGATGAAATAATGAGACAGTTTGATTTATTCACTGGCCTTAAAAAGAAAAGGAATGAAAAAAACAAAAGCATCAACTTGCCTGGTTTTTGACCACTTCTCTCATCTTTCCGCTGGTTAATTGTTCTTGAACTTTGCTAACACTTTGTGGCTTTCTTTGGTTTCATCTCTGAAATTCATTCATTGAATTAGCTTTTGCCCATTAGTTCTCATGTCAAAAAAATCTGTTGTGACTTCGATTATATTCACTGAAATCATTAACTATAAATAAATGATTTGATTTCAGTTTTTTCCATAAGAAAAAGAAATAAGCTGACTCTCCAGATGAATTTCTTTGTATTTTTTGTTTCAAGTAACTTATAAGTCCTTTAAAACGTGTAAGTCCTTTAAATTTTTAGATCTAAATTATATTGATTATAGCAAGTACAAAATATCATTATTCCATCTTTGAAAGAAACTAATAAAAAAAGCATGAATTTGTCAGCTACATAATAATAAACATGTTTTTTATTAACTCACATATTTTAGAGAGTAATCAAATTCACCAAGCTTCTAAGTGCTTTGCCACTTTGTATCTAAAATGTATTTAAATAATTGATGACTTTATTGTTTGGAGTGAATACATGCTTTATCTTTTGAGAATTTAAAAAGTTTGTGATGTAATATTCTACTTACATCAATTAGGAGAAAGATAATAATTTTGAAAAAAATATTAATAATTTCATCTTAAAAACTATTGAAGAGCAAAAAATAAATCCTCCTCTTTCTCAAGCTAATTATGATGTTTACCTTAGATGTTTATAAAAACTCATAAAGATGATTTCTCTGTAAGAAAAAAACCTTTACAATTTTTATAGGTTCTGGCTAAAAATTCTCATAATTGTTTTAAAAAGAAAGAAATGGGCAAAAATCTAATAATCACTGTATTTCTTTTAAAGGTAATAAATTTGAGAAAGAATACAACAACAACAACAACAACAAAATCTCCCAAGAGTTCCATGTTTCCAGGTGAGGTGAGATTAGAAAATTTTTGAGGAACCATTAAAAGATCTTTTGTCTCTTCCTTGAGAGGGATTACTGGTTCCTGTTTCAGCACAGTTTCAAAAAGAGGAGAAGTGTAGTTACATGTTTTTGGAAATATCCTGTGCCGTTTGACAGAACCGTGGTTCCTGTCAGGATGACAAGACTCCTTCCTGAGTGTGTAGCAAAACTGGTGTGGAAACACAGTGAGTGTCAGCCTGAAGGTGCTTTCCGGTCGTAGCTGGATTGTGGACAGTTACCTCAGCTGTCATGAACTCTGCAGGTGAAACATATTCTAGGCACAGACGCTGGGACTTGTTACAACTGGCTCATCAGGGTGAGGACATATAATAGTCAATCGAAGGAAAACTACAGCACACACAAAATGCAAACATCAAGTCATCTGTTGGCCAGCATCTTGGATATTTTATTAAGGAAAGAATATCTTGGCTCTCTGTGGTATTTAGTGTGAATAAAAAATGCTCATGAGTAGCTCATTTTTATCAATAACGTGTCAGTTTTATACATTGTCTACAAAGTTTTAAATATAAAGATTTGTCCACTCCTTCATTATTTTGTTTATGGAAAGATACAGAAGAACTTATTCATCCAGAAAATAATTTTACCTGAACTTCAGTGTAAAGAAACTTTGAACTGTGACTATTTTTAATTAGGTCATTACTTAAACATCAGATAAAAGTTAGGAGTGGCAAGTTATTTAACCAAATTAATATTATAACCTAATTTTGCAGAACCAGTCATTATAAAATAAATCTACAATTTACAAAATAAACCAATGACATTGGATGAAGATTTAAAGCTAGAATTAAGTTGCTACCAATCAATCTGTATATTTCTCTCCCTATTTGTTGCATGTCTTATGGGTAACACCTGAACATTTTCCACAAAGAAATCCTTTGTCTAAAATCAGCTTTGATAGTGTTTCTGGTTTTTCTTTATTCCTTCTTAAGTAATAAAGGTAAAAGACAACCTTTATAGATCAAACATTGTAGGACATTAGGGAAAGGTTCGTCACATGCATTTCCAAAGATAATTCTTGTAACAGCTTTGTAAACGCATCACCCCTATTATCCTACTTTACACTGGGCTCGTGTGGGTTATGTAATTTTGAACACTTCATGTTGCTGAGTGAGGGAGCAAAGGCTTAAATTCAGAGAAATTATTCTCCATAGACTAGACTTGAAAAAATACGTCTTATGTAATCTCAGTATAGGCTTTCTTACAAAACTTTATTTCAAATTACATATCTATTTCACTTTTTTTCAGTTTATTATTAGGCAGGCTTCAAATTTTACTACTTTGACAAAATAAAAAAAAACATAGAAATAAAACTATTCACTAAACACACATATTCAGCCATACATGGTTTGTTGGTTGGTGATTTTTAAAAACATAATTTATTGCAGAAATCCTTCAGCAAGTGGCTTGATGTTTGATTCCTCATCAATCATTGAGATAGTGTCACTTAAATTTCTTAAACCTATGGAAAGACATGAAAAATTATGGTATATATATTTTTAATTGAGTTTATTGGTACATTTTAGGTATACAGTACAGTTACATTCACTACTGGGATCTTGCACCTTTACATGACAGGTCTTGGTTCTCATATTTCCCCTTGTCCCTGCCCTCCCTTCACCCCCTCCTCCCCACCCCGTTTACAAACACTTTATTTCCATTTTTTCATTTTCTCATATTTTTTTCTTTTCCCTTATTCCCTTTCCCCTACCCTTCCCACTTTCCCTACACCTTTAGCCCTTTTCTTCCTATTTCACATTGTCAATTATCTCATTAGGATCTTATGTACTATTATAGTTTTTCACACCAGAGAAACTATTCAGTATTTGCAGATTTGTGACTTATTTATTTCACTTAGGAGTATATCCTCAATAGGTATCCATTTTTCTATGAAAGAATAATTTCAGTGATATATGTGCACCTATGTTTATAGAGGCACAGTTGGTAATAGCTAAAACTTGGAAACAGCCCATTTGCCCATCAGTTGGAAACTGGATAAAGAAGATGTGATTTTTCTATAAAATGGAATATTACTCAGCCATAAAGAATGAGAAATTAGATTCATTCATTGGTATATATATTTTAAGGATAATAAAAGGATATAAAATAATATATAAACTAATAGCAGAATTTCTACAATTAAGTACTAAAGATCTTAGCAGTTTCTCTGTGCCTGAATTTCCTGTGTGAAAAATATGCAAAACAAAAGT